TTATATAGATATACAAAAAAATCTGTGTATCAAAAATAAACACATAAAATAATATGAGATAAATAAAAAAGCAAAAAAAAATTGTGTTCACTTAATTCACAAGACTTCTATTATCAAGTGCGTCCCAGTAGTGCATATACTGTATAAACAGTCCAGATGTGCTTCACATTACACCAAAAAAACACAATGCTTCTTGTGTGAAAAATTCCAGATCCAGTTACCAACTCTGTGCTCTTATGTGCACTCCTTCCACTCACCAGACTAAATGGACCATATTTTATATAATGGTCAGATAATGCTCAGAAACGTCCTCTATACAGATCACAGATCACAGTTATCTCCTCTTCTCCAATGGCAATTAGTACTCAGAAAAAGAAATAGAACAATGCATAGCATAAAATCCTCAAGCAAACTGTATTTTTAAAACTTACAATCATGAGCTAAGTAGCATATCTTTCTGATGCAACATTAAACACGCTCGGTTCCCGTCCTCTCACCCGTCCCCTCGCTTCCCCTCCAAATATTACACGTTCGTGCTGGCAATGTGATTGACGTAATGAAAGTGTGTACACACCCACTCAACGCGTTTCGTCATCAAATACTTTCTCAAGAGTGGTGTGCACGCTGTCCTCAACCACTTATCTACAGGGTTATTCACAAAGGGGTGAAGAGTTTGGAGAAGGCAGGAGAAGTGAACAATCTAGGACAACATAGCTGATGTGGAAAAATTCTCCAATTCAGCTCACTTTCCAGTTCAGCTATGTTGGCCTAGATTGTTCACTTCTCTTGCCTTCTCCAAACTCTTCACCCTTTTATATATAACCCTGATAGTCTCAGATGCAATTATTAAAATACCCACTAGATGTCCTCACTCCCCATCCAAATAACAAAATTCATAAAATCAGCCATGAATACAGATTAATAGCTATTTCATTCAAACTGCTTGGTATAATAATACAAGCTCTATGTAAAATAAACCATCCTGGCAAGGAATAAATCTTAAAAACTTCCCCCTAGAATCGCATTTACTAAATGACCACTAATAAAAATATATTATATTTAACCACTTGAAGACTGTGGTCACATCGGGTAAATTAATTAAATTGATTAATGGCCCTAGAAATATTGCTCTCACTGTGATGTTGGCGGCAATATGTAACACATGCGGCGTAATGGGCGCAATCGTCGTCTTCGCACTTAATATTTGCATGCGTGTATGTATGGGTGGGGACTTTTAAAAAAAATTAGTTTTTTGAATTCTTTTTCATGTGTCTTTAACATTTTTTTGCAACTTTAATTTTTTTTCCTATTTTTTTTTCACTTAACTTTATTGTTATCACATAGGGGGCTAAGAAACCCCCTATGTGATAGCAAAGAGATGTGAGCGGTCCTCTTTATGGAGACATCAGGGGTCTCCAAGACCCCTAATGTCACCTAAGGGACCCCCAAAGAAGCTGATGAAGCAGAGATTTGCACAAGAATGCAGAAGTGATTTAATGCACATCACTTCCGCATTCTGACAGCGGAGAAGGGACCTGGAGGGAGATCGTGTACCGATCTCCTTCTGATCCCCTGTCACAGAGCCACTATGCTGGTCAGTGGGAGGGGGCCGCACACACCGGCACCTTATAGAAATCGAACCGCCGGCTCTATAGCCGGCGGATCACTTGTATGTTAACAGGCATCGCTGCCTGTTTTTGAGTTTGGGCCAGTTCCAGCTTGTGCGCGGCGTGTGGGTGTGGCTGACAGGACGTTTAAATACGTCCGCTCAGATCTGAAACGACAGGATGACAGCGGCTCCGATCTCCTCCCCGCTCGGCCATCCTGACAGCAGGAAGTGCTCCCTCCTGCGCCCCCCCCCCCGCAGTTTCTCCTCGGAAACCCCGCTGCCTCAGCCCATACAGGCAGCGGGGGGCGGACGAGTGAGCGCTGTCATGGTGAATGGACAGCGGGGAGGAGGAGAGAAGCCGCCCCGAGGACGAGCTGTGTCGGCCGCCTGGCGCCTTTGTTGCCATGGCGCCCTGTGTGGACGTACAGCTCGCACACCCCTATGGCCGGCCCTGCATGAAGGGGTGTACTTGGTCAACAACAATGTTATAGTAGCTGGTATGTATCAAAGTAATATCCACATGAATAGCAGAATACTTCCTCAGCCGGCTTGCCTTCTTCCCATAGTGCCATCTGTTCCCTGGGTAAGCGACACACACGCACCGGGCGATCCACATGATGTAAAAGAAAACGTGGTTGATCAGACCAGGCCACCTTCTTCTATTGCTCCAGTTCTGATGCTCACGTGCCCATTGTAGGTGCTTTTGGCAGTGGACAAAGGTCAGTATGGGCATCCTGGGTCTTTGGCTACGCAGCCTCATACGCAACAAACTGTGATGCACTATGTGTTCGGACACCTTTCTATCAGAACCAGCATTAACTTTTTCAGCAATTTGAGCTACAGTAGCTTTTCTTTTGAATTGGACAACGTGGGCCAGGCTTCGCACTCCATGTGTATTAATGCGCCTTAGCCGCCCATGACCCTGTCGTCGGTTGTCGGTCACCAGTTTTACTTTCTTGGACCACTTTTCATAAGTCCTGACCACTGCAGGCCGGGAACATGCCACAAGAGCTGCCGTTTTGGAGTTTCTCTGACCCAGTCGTCTAGCCATCACAATCTGACCCTTGTCAAAGTCCCTCAAATCTTTACGCTTGCCCATTTTTTTCTTCTTTCAACACATCAACTTCAGGGACAAAACTTTTGACTAATATGTCCCAGCCACTTCCAGGTGCCATTGTAACGTGATAACCTATGTTATTTCTTCACCTCTCAGTGGCCATAATGTTATGGCTGATTAAAACATGATCTGTGTTGTAATGTTACTTATTTTTAATGGCATACCTACACACTACTACATTAGTGAGCAGCTCACCTGCACTGTAGTGCACCACAATGCGCATGCCATATGCTGTGATGTGCTACATTTAAAAAAAGGATTTTGCCCATTTTATTGTTCTGCTGTACATTCTGCTACCAAGCCTTTTTTTGCCTTAACTCAGCACTTAGCGTGAATGGGTCCTTAGATTCTAGGTGCTAGAATACTCTTTTAAAGGGAACCAGTTAGGATAGAAAGAAGGGAACTGACATTTGTTGTTTATGAAGATGTTTTATTTATGAACATGCAATTTCCAAAGTCGAAATCCTGGAGCAAGCATGATGCTAATGCAGTGATCATTCTTCAAGTCAGTGACTGTTTTTAGGCAGTAAAGCAAAATCACAACCATACTTAGCAAAGTCAGTATTTTTCAAAGTTATTATGTCTTCCAGGATTTTACAGGCTTTTACTATAATGGTATCTTTAAATACATGAAAGGCAATAGCAGCCAAGAAGCTAATAATCTGGAAGGTTATTTTGACCTCTTTGTATTCTGAGAGATGTCTTCTTTTCTGTGTTGGAAAATATCTGCCCTGTTTATAAACCCATTCTCTTTTTGGGAATGGTTTGTTTTAGTCTTATGTAGTTATTACCAAGTTGTAGTTTTATATATACTCGCAATACTGATTTAGGTTAGTTTCGACTTTCTTTAAACAGAAGAAGCTCTTGTTAATGGCACTCATTACTGTAAGCCCTGGTTCACACTTAGGCGTATTGCATATGCGCGGTTGTCGCGCGTTTTTTTTACCGCGATGCGCGGTAAAAAAATTGCGCGACAAACGCGCGTTTCCTATGGCTACTTGGCTGTATCCCAATGGAAACGCGCAACAAAAACGGCCCAAAGTAGTACATGTACCTTTTCAGGCGTGGGCCGTTTTGTAGCGCGTTAGGGACGGGCTGAAATACGCCAAGGTGTGAACCAGACCCATTGAATACAATGGGATTTAGATGTTTGAGCGTTTTGTAGAGCGTTCGTCGAGCGTAGAACGCGCTACAAAACGTTCAGGTGTGAACTAGGGCTAAGAGAGCTCTAAAAAGACTAGAAAAAAATACAGCAAATGAAAACTGAAAATTGCTTTTGTGTAATGTCCATTATAGATACTTCTATCATGCCCTGTCATAAGAAGCCAAAAAACCTACCCTGTTAATCTCATTTTCAATTTTCTTTAGTATCCGTCTTGGTAGTGGCGTAACAATCACCATAGCGACCCAGGCGGCCGCTATGGGGCCCTGGGCACATGGGGGCCCAGCCAGGACATCCCTCTGATGCCGTGCGGGCCGCCTGGGTCGCTATGGCATCTTAGGCTGCTGGCTGTCACTGGTGGGTGTGAGGAGGAACGCGCCACTGTTAGATTACCGACAACCTGTCAGTGATGTGTGCAGCGGCGTGTTCCTCCTCACAGCCGCTGCTGAGCCAGTGACAGCCAGCAGCTGTGGAGGAGGAAGGCTGGGCCTGGCGTCAGAAGCGGAGGAGGAGGCAGGGCCTGGTGACGGAGGAGGCGGGGCCTGCCAGCAACCATGGAGGTGGACAGCGGATCGGGGCTGACAGGTAAGAGGTGTGTTGTGGCTGTTTTGGATATCAAGTGGGCTCTGCAAGGGCCTAACTAGAAACCACAGGGTACCATACAAAATTTTGCTATGGGGCCCTGTGATTTCTAGTTACGCCCCTGAGTCTTGGTTAGTGTTACCAGAAATAAAAAGAAAACTAGTAATACGTTGCCAAGAACTCTCTCAAAAATAACAAGGATGCAAAATATTTGGAGAAGCAAAACACACACACACTTTTTTTTTACACTAACCTGCTAGTGACTGAAAACTAGCCAATGTTCATGGTGCAGTAAGTTAGCCCAAAATTTCCTTTGCCAGATAATGATTACACATCTCCAGGAATTTCACTTACTTGGCCATACCCGAGATCATGACAGTGAAATTGTTCCAGGGCACTTTATAATGCAATGCACAAACCACCTCTGATGGTAACATATGAATCTCTGAGCAGTGATAGGGTTTTATTCTCATATTCATGTCTTTAAAATCCTGCACATTATTGCCATACAATTTTTGTATCTTATTTTTTCAGTGTATAAGGATAGAAGGTGATGATGATCTGATGATCCTCTTCTCTCTATAAACTGCCCGAGCTGCTTCTCTGGCCTCTATTATCACATGTAGAGATCCAATTGTTTGTCCGGGGTTTGATGCATCCTGTACTGAAATAAAGACAAAATATATGCTTCAAAAAATACCCAAAGGCAAATATTTTCCTGGAAAAAAGCTGTTTCAGTTCTACCTAATCTTCACGTGATATGGATGTGTGTTTCATCATGTTATATTCTGGATAGAGTGGGTATGCCAGATAATAAAACCATAGATTAATATGTTCTCCACCTACTAAGTTATCTAAAGATAATCATGTACTTGTTGAAATAGGTTTTTACTCACTCTGCAGAGTTTCCTCTGCTGGGTCTACAGATCTTCGTAAAAGATGCCGCAGGTCCAAATAAGCATATCCAACATCACGACACTCATCATCTTCTTCATTAATTGGATCGCTTGCCACTGTAAATGTTAACCTTTGTAGTGCCCACAAAGGAAGAAAGAAATATTTGTTAAATGTCATTGCCTCACAACTGAGCTCTAGACCAAACAATTAAAGGGTATCTATGGTCAAAATCTAAAAATAAATATGTATTTCTATATTACATTTCCATAATTCCTATTCCACTCCTAATAATCAAATTGATCTACAAGTTTGTAAACTTACTTGTTGAAGATGGCCATAGGATGTACTTTCTTAAAGGAGAACTATGAGGTGAGTGCTTTCCACTCACCTCATAGTTCTAGCCGACCTGTGACAATGAGACTGTCACAGGTCGGCTCAGTAGATCGGGAGGTGAGCGAACAGATACCAGCGTTCCCTCACCTCTCGATCCTGTCACGGCTCTATGCCGTGACAGGGGAGGGGCTGGATTCCCCCCTCCCCGCTCCGATCCGCCAGCGCTGACTGGCGGAACGGACGGGGGAGGGGGCAGGTACAGCTGGCTCTGCCTGTAGATAGGCAGAGCCAGCTGTCAGTCACGCAGCTGGGCCGATCCCGGCACAATTGTCGGGATCCGCTTCAGCGTCTGAGTATACCGTGAACAGCTGCTCGCGGTATACAGCGGCGTCTCAGTGTACTGAGCCTAGGGTGATGGGAGGACGCTAGTTTGTGTCCTCCAGTTACCCTAAGGAGAACTATGGGGAAAAGACTTAACCCCATAGTTCTCCTTTAATGCACTGACACAATCTCACTCACCCAGTCCTCAGATTTTGCAAAGCCAAGTTGGTAACCTCACTGCAGTTGACCAGTAAAGCCTAGCCACCTCCATTCCCCCAGACTGTTATTTTGTAGGAGAAGCAGCAGCAGGCTGAAGAAGTCATTTATCTGCATACACTCCTCTTTCCTACTGTTAGCACATATGCATTCAACAAACCCCAATTGGCCCAGAGTGCTGTCCCTCCCCTCCTAGTTGGAGTCCTGTATAGGGGATTACAAGAGGCTGATATCAATAGAGGAACTCCAAAGCAAGTACACACCAGTGCCACCGCCCTTTAAGCAGCAGCTTACTGTATGATGTTGACCACTAAATGTAGGAAGGTCAAATATTGTTCTCTGCATTCTATAATTGTGTAAAAATGAATTCCATATATTACTTCCTCAGCAGGGATTATTCAGCAAATAGAACCAAAGATGAGGTCAAATAGAATTGTTGTACTCAAAATCCTTTTCTTAGTGTCTATTAAGGGATAAAGGGATCATATACTTCTGGTTATACTACCGCATACAAGAGGACTGGACACTGGCAAACAAAAATCTGCAGGCCTGGCTAGAATAACCCCAACTCTACCCACCAAGCCTCAGTTTATAGCATGCAGTTCTAAAAGCATGATCAAAAACACAAAGGGGAGGGACCTGTGTCCCTCATTGGACTCCAAGAAAATAATTTTCAGGTGAGTACAAAAATGCAAATTTTTTTTTTTGTCTATTGAAAGACAAAGGGAATCATGTATGTCCAAAACGGGCAAACCGTGCCAAACTAACAGGCCCAGGAAATAGAACTGGGGAAGACTTGCAGTCCAATAGTCGCCTGAAGGACCAGCGCCCAAAACTGACACTGAATAAAGCTGGACCCCTGCCTGAATGGGATTTATTTTTTCTGGATTTCTCACTGCTTTGCTGCAGATAAGGCATCTGCGTGCCTGTAAGAGTATTATAGACCATAGTTAAGGAGCGTAGAATTGAATCTCCTATGGACAAGGCTTATAGCCCAGAGGTTTCCTGTGTTTCCCAATAAAAAAAAACAACTCTTTGTATTTACTTGCATAAAACCTTATGTTACCTTATTCTTTCTCCCTCAGTGTCTGATCCCTCCAAAAGCATATAGAGGAAATGTCTGCGATGTACATGTTCTTTGCCATCAAGGTGTATTACTGCATGGGGAACAGGAAAATAATAAATCTGAAAACTTGGTCTTATGGTAAAAAATTTTAAGATAAACGTTATTTACTACACAGAGCAAGAAGAGTTCACAGATTTTTTTTTTTCTAATCTAATATGTGACAGTTCTCTTACCTTTGCTGAAGTGGTAGTATATCTCCTCTCCTTGACAAGGTTTGCAAAGTGATAAAGGAGTCTCAGTTTCTTCAGCGGGAACACCAGCAAACTGAAACTCCACAAACACTCTTTCCACCGATTCATCAGCCACCACCTCTGAGCATGGATCAAGTGTCAGAGAGACAATTTCTACACGAATCCTGGACGATGGCTAAGTACATTGAAAACATAAAGAAAAATGGCTTCATACAGATATGGCAAAGCAGGGGACCTTGTCCTTTTCCTTTTCTTTTGTCTTGCGATGATCGTAAGCTTATTAAAAGCTTGTACGATCTGACCATCTTGGACAGGCAGATCGTACTTGCGATCATCGAAAGCCCGCCACGCGTGCGCACACCGGCCCATTCCTTAGTTGTCAAACAAGCAGGCTAGAAACCCGCCGAGAATCGTAAGATGCGGGTTTTCTAGCATGCTGGTTCGACAAATGACGTGCGACTGTACAGTAAAAACGGTCGCACGCCTTCCATACACCTTGCGATTATCGTACGATCGCGGGATTTCCCGCGATTATCGTACGATATTCGCAAGGTGTATGGGCACCTTAAGAAAGGAGTTCTTAAAAAAAAGTCCTGTCTCAAAAGATAGAAAAGCAACAATGTCCAGCAATAAAAGGAGGGGGATTTATCAAAACTGTAGCAGAGCAAATCTGGAGCAGATCTGCATGGCAACCAATCAGACTGAAGGGAGAAGCTGATTGGTTGCTACAGTCAATTGCTCCAGATTTTGCCTGCTCCAGTGTTGATAAATCCCCCTCCCATTTATACTCACCTTTCGGTTGTGTTTCTCTTACCTCTCCTCCATTCCAATGTTGCAGCCTTTGAAAGACTCTTTAGCATTCAACATTACCAGGGATTTCTGATGCCTGTAGTCCTTCGCCCTTTGGTAACTTACTACTTTCTACGTCACTGCAGGACATAGGGGTCAGAGGAAGTAATGGCAACCAGGGATACAATCATCCAACAATGCCACAGTGGTTCACTGCCTAGAAGATTTTCAGAGCTGCAGCATTGGAATGACAGATAATCAGGTAAAACAGGACAATAAAGAGGCATGAATACATGTTCACTGATTGTAAGGAAGTGCTTGTTCTTTATCAACCAACACCTGACAGGGTCTCTTTTATATGTTTTATATTGTTATTGTTAATAGTGTTGTTAGACACCTTTAACATATAGATATAGAAATATAGATAAAACTCTTTCAAAAACAAAAAGGTGGAGTTCAAACAATGTGAGCGTTGTAATGTGGGTACACTGAGCAAAACTTGGTAGACACTGCTCTAAAGGATTGGTGTATATATAGTTTGATGTATATTTCTTAAATGTTGTTACCAATGTTGTTTAAATGTGCAAATATAAGTGAGTTTGTAAAGCAGTAAACTAGGTTAAAAAAATGTTCTTTATTGGGCGTTACATTTGTCCTGTATCAGAGTAGCTCCACCAGGGAGTCAGACAACAATACAAAGCTAGCAGAGGTTAAGCCAGCAGAGGTTAAGGTTTTTAGCCTAGATTTCAGCTAGGAGAGTGCTACTCCCCTAGCTGAAATCTAGGCTAAAAACCTTAATTTACATTTATTACTCAATAGCCGCAAAGTATATCCATCCACTTTGTGTGCACCAAATGCCTTTGGAAGCACATATAATCACCCTTTATAGGTAGCAGTGACATAAGCACTGTGCTGTACATAGCCTGTGCAGAGAGCAGAGCCCCTCCCACTACAAGCTGATTGCAGAAAACTACAGAGGGGGAGGAGACAAGACCAGCTATCCTGCACAAGGAGAGAGAGCGGCGGTGACTGGTCTATATTACAGGAAGCTCCTGCACAAAGCAAAATGTTCACACAGGATTACGGCACAGTTCTGGAAGAAATACACAAAGCACACCAAGATTCAAATACGAACACTGTTACCTCTTGTTTTTAGGCAATATTTCCCAGTTCAGCTTTAAATAAAGCATTTTTACTTCTGTCTATGCTGCTGTTAAAGAAAATTTCCCCACACTTCCTGTCATGGAGACAACCTTTTTCCTAACAGAAAGTGAAGGAATCTGTATAATGGAGCCTCCAATGCCAGTAAAACAGGAACTTTAATTCTTTAGCCACTCTGGCCAAAAACATCCTTCTGTTTACAGTGTATGCACACACCAGGCAGACACAATAACTGTGGTCGTGTTCTCATTAGGCAGCACAAATCACAGGTAAAAGGAAAAGAGCAACTCTTATTGGCTCTTAACATTATAACCGAAGTTAACCAATCATAGTGATCACACGGTAAACACGGCCGGGGACCGAAGATGGCAGAGACTTGTGGGATGCTTTGTTATCGCTACATGAGAGGTGTAGGACAGGCAGACACACAAGGTAGATACACACAGCCCAGCCAGTACTTAAAATCCTGTACATATGAGGTCATAATGTAACATGGAGAAGAAGGTATAGAATGTAGTGGGAGGTTAGAGTAGAAGTGCTAGGGTAGGAATAGATTAAAGGGAACAAAGTAGCTGAGGCTGAACTCAATCTATTAATATACAAACACAGTTAGGAAAAAAAATCTGTTAAAATGACATTTGATTTACCGCCCCACAATCTGCTTCTTCTATTCTGACAGAACATTTAAAAACATCCTTGTTTTAAACATTCGTGCAAAGTGATCATGCCGAGTATGACCCCCCACTTCTATAGAATGTATTCCGAGAAAAAAGGACACCTTTTCAAAGGAGAACTATGTGGTTAAGGCTTTTCCCCCCATAGTTCTCCTTAGGGTAACGGGAGGACACAAACTAGCGTCCTCCCGTCACTCTAAGCTCAGTATACCGCGAGCTACTGCTCGCGGTATACTGAGACGCCACAGCTGAAGCGCATCCCGACAATTATGTCTGCATCCGCCCAGCCCCTGTCTAGAGGCAGAGCCAGCTGTACACGCCCCCTCCCCGTCCGTTCCGCCTGTCAGCGCTGGCAAATCGGAGCGGGGAGGGGGGAAACCAGCCCCTCCCCTGGGAAGTGAGCGAACGCCGGTATGTGTTCACTCATATCCCGATCTACTGAGCCGACCTGTGACAGTCTCATTGTGAAAGGTCGGCTAGAACTATGAGGTGAATGAAAAGCACTCACCTCATAGTTCTCCTTTAACATTGTTGGTCTCTTTTCCTTCATATATTAAAAAGAAAGACCCAGTGGTTATTAAATACTGTTTCTTTCTCCAAACAATGATATCGAATTGGCTACATTATTATATTTGGGTACACAATTGCATGACCGGAATAATTGTCAAACTATCACTTACAATGAAAAGTGAAAAATGGCCTGAAAAGGTAGGTGGTTAAGATTTCACGTACTTACCGACTTATATGAAGCTAGAGGTTTTGCCACTATAATCATGTCATCATCATCATTGCCACTGTGGTGTTCACTGATGTTATTCTCATCTTAGAAAAAAAAAAAGAAAAATTTTCACTAATTAATATGTTGATCAATATAAATGTGAAATCAATATATAAATGCGTTACCATTTTCCTTTAGGAATTTATCAGAATGCACAGAGGTTGTTTCATGATCTGACTCATTCACATCTTCATATATCAGTTGATCAATCTGTCCTTGTGATTCTTCTTGTTCTACTGCAATATCCTAAAGCAAACAAATTCAAAAGGTTGTTTTGACTGAACATTAAATGACAATGAACTTGGTGAGAGATGCAGCAGTTATTGTAACTAATACCATCACCAATAGCAGCCAGCAGATTACACATTTATAGTATTCCAAGGAGCCTAGATTTATTTGTGGGACTACACTTAAGGCTCATTGACTCCTGGGAGTTTTAAAACATGTACACATGTGGGCCATTGTTTTAAGTGGTTCAAGTTTACATTTATGGCACGGATCGACGTGTGTGGTCCGGTTTTTGATGCACGGATGCGTGTTTCAAAACATAAAAATGCATGATTACTGATAACTGCACATAGAAGTGAATCCAGCTCTAAGGTTCCTTTCCACATATTGTACACTTGTGGTTTACATTATACAGCTCTACTGTCAGGAAGAGCCATCTGCATAGTTCCTGCAAGATCGCCTATAGACACCTCCATCCAAGGCCACGGGTCTGGTCTCAGGAGGCAAGCATGAAGGCATGGTGTGAGGCCTCAGAAGAGCTCAGTAACATTGAACCTGATAAAATCAGAGGGTCAGCATTACTGAGCTTCCTGACCAGCCAATTCACTTGTCACCCAGGAAAGTGCAGCGACGAGCCCTCTTCAGTGATGCAGAGTCTGTAAACAGTGTAGGCTAATGGTCACTGTGTACATTGCCAACCACACTGTGCCTACCTGTGTGGCAGGTGCAGCGGCCAGGTAGAAACGTTTATCCAGTGACACTGAGCCTTATTTTTTAATGGGCTCTGCATCACTGAGCTGACTGTGGGTATGCATGCACACACACGCAGTGCTACCACTGCCCGGTGGCCATCTTTGCTGCTGGGGAAAGGGATGTGTGGCAAAAATGGATGCATCCGCCCCTGGCACCGCTCTTCCTCCATCTCAAATTTAGCCTACTGGTTTGAAATCAAAGCTGAAACTGATGTTAATTAATACTCATGTTACGATTACTTTTTCTCATATTACACACTAAGTTATTAAAATGTCTCTGCTCACCCACCTGCACAGTCACGTCCATCTCATCGCTGTGGTGTTCAGATACATGAAAGTCCTGTATTATGCCTTTCTGATGCACATCAGTTATATGACCATCTCTTCTTCCCCGTTTCCTGGAGCTGACATCTCCATGTAGATCTTCTTCAGCCTTACGAGATTTGGTTGGTCTTGTTCTGCTTTGATCCTCTTTAGGCAATTGCTTGCCATGGGAGTTTTGCTATTAAGTGATATTTGCATTATAT